CGGTTGTGTCCATGATGGGTTTTGGCCTCCATGAACTCATCAACGTCAAGCCGACGGACAAGTGCCCGCTTTGCAGCAGCAAGACACCTCAGCCGCGACTAACCCGCGAGCACCTGCTGACCTGCCGTCCCATCAAGCGACACAACGCCCTTCGCGACGAGATGGGCCGCCTGCTCAGGTACGCCACCCTCTCCCATGTCTGGGTGGAAAAGTCTGGCTACAACGCCAACGGTCAGAGCTGCCGCATCGACCTGCACTGCCGCAACCCCTTTCCCGGCGGTGCCCTGGGCCCAGCTCTGCCCGACCTGGGCATTGACGTGACTGTGCGCACAGCCCAACCCCCGACCACCTCGCAAGCCTGCATCAAGGTGGGCGCTGCCCTTCGCCGAGCCGAAAAGGAGAAGCGCGACTACTACACCGGTTTCAACCATGGAAAAACTCTGATCGTCCCTGCGGCGATGACGACAACCGGTGGGTTCGCCTCCTCCTTTGTGGATCTGCTTGGTCAGCTCGCCCGCTGCGCCGAGGCCCGTGGTGTGTACCAGCCGGGGCTGGATGAGGCCTTTGTTCCTCGGTGGAAGGGTCGCTTTGCGGCTCTGGTCCATCAGATGAACGCTGACCACATCCAGCGCCACTTTGGCGGTGTCTGCCTGCGCTCGTCGTAGGTAGGCACCGTCTCGGGGGTCCCTCTGTGGGGATCCCTGTGTGCACCTGTCGCTCCCTAGGTGGTTCTCGTTGTAATCTTTTTATGGCTTGACTTGTATTTTTGTTGTAATTTTGCTTTAATTTTTGCTGTATTTGTGTGGTATTTTTGCTGAATTTTTGTGTAAAGTCCTTTGTATGATGTCTTTTCTTTCTGTGGTCGGTTGCCTTTTCAACCCGACGCTGTCTCTTGTTGTATGTGAGCGTGCCGTGGTGTTTTTATGTTTGTGCTGTGATGGCTTGTAGTTGTGATGTGTGACTGCCTTTTTATGTGTCTAGTGGTTAAAATGGCCGTATCTCTGGTTATACTTAGTCGTTTTTCATGATTTTTGTTTCCTTGTGCGTGATTCTTCGCGCTTGTACTTTTCGGCATGATAGAAGCCGATGAAAATGTCTTGTTCTCTTGTGTTGTTTTGCGTGCCGTCATGATTTTGATGTCGGGGTTGCACAGCTTTGCTTTCAGCTCTGAGGTTCAAACACCTAATTTATTATCACCTCTTCTTCGAAGCTACTGGTATCAGTCAACACCGCTCCCGATGTGGTGCCAATCTGAAGCGAGCGACCGAGGCGTTGTTTCATGCGGCTGGACACGACCTGCTTGAGATTATGCGTGGCGCTTGGCCCCAACAGTGTGTAGGGTCTCGCGTCAGTGTCTGTGAGCTGCTCAAGCTCGCCCGGCATCCACTGATGCAGCACAGCCGCTACCCATTAATTATTTCTACCCATCCAACGCCACCGAGACCAAGCTGATGGCTGCCACCCTGAGCCAGCTGTATTGGTCTGCCGTCCACTCGGACTATACCGCTGAAGAGCGAGAGATGTGCTGGGCTTTGATTTTGGCCTTGCCTAGCATGTTGTTGTCTGCTCCCTCGACCGCACTGTCTACGATTGACCTGCGCAATATGTTTCACGATCGTCTCCGTTGGCTTGTGACGGGGCAACTAGGTCGGGTCGTGGACGCCATGCGCAAGGCAGTCGCACGCAAGCAGAGCCGTCGAGGACAGCTGAACGCCGGCGCGGGCGCCCACCCGAACGACGCAGTCGACCAGAGCCTCAGGTCGCTCGTCCGCGACCCGGACCTGGCGGACGAAGCCTGGGCAAACCACGTCACGAACCGTCTGAACCGAGGTCAGATTGC